CCCCCGAAAAGGATCCCTCGTGTAATACCCATTTATCACCTCCTTGGATCTCTTACCACAAGGGAACACGTTCTCGCAACTTACCGAATAGCTGTGGAAACGTGGCATTTTTCCTCATATTTCCTAGTTGTTGTTTTTCGCGCATCAGTATTCTTTTTTTTTTAATTTTTTGTCTTGAAAAGCTTTTTAGGGTGTCTCAGTCTTATATACTACCATTTCTTATAGCCTTCGCTCTAGTAAATGCTGCCTTTTGTTGAGAGCAGTGCTTGTGACCAAAAATTCAGAAGCGAACGGGTCTAAACGAAACAAAAGACTGGCACTGTTTGCCCTTGGCGGGGGGGTGCTGTCGTGAGATACCTGAAGGCGTAAACCATCTTCTTGTGAAGGACGGACAATTATGCTCCCGCAGAGACTTCGTAAGGAGCGCGCGGCGTTATAGAGAGCGCCAGGCGCCAGAGGTGACGAGGGTTCGCAGTGTGGCTGGGCTGGGACACAACGCGAGGTGTGAAACGTTCTGGCAAGCATTACGCTCCCGCTTCTTGGGTCGATGGAGGATGCCTCATCGACCGCATGTAATTACACGTCCCTCAAATGCCATAGGATACGTCGGGTTTCTTTAAGTCCCGAATTAATTTCCCGAATAAGTTTGTAACTGTTGAAGATGAATAATTTCACGCTTTGCACGAGACACCACATTTAATTCGTGCCCAGGGCGAATTGAGGTAAAGACTTATCTTTGTGCCTTAAAAAAAGAAATATATATATATATATATTCACACACTTTTTTTTTTACAGCGGAGCTGTCAAGGGCTAGGTTCCCCAGGACCGTGTCCGTGTATGTCGACACAAACCTACCTGGACAGCTACCGCCATCTATAAGCGAGGGCGGCAAGCACACAACCAGTATGGTTTCTGCCGTCGCTCGTAGATGGCGGCAACCTTTCCAGCTATAATAGAAGAATGGATAGTATGGCACGTTGGTGGGAATTGATCGTAGGAAACAGCGTGAAAAACAGACGACGACGAAGAAAAAGCACAGAGTGTATCGAGTACAGCTCTGCTGGTCTTCCTTCTTCACGAGAGTGGAAAGGCTGAACGTTTTTTCCGGTTTCTTTTCACAACGTAGAAAAAAATGCATACACCACTGTGCGCGCACGCACGCACGCACACGCACACGCACACGCACACGCACACACACACACACACACACACACACACACACACACACACACACACACACACACACACACACACACACACACACACACACACACACACACACACACTTTTTTTGCGGTTAAATGGAAATGTTGATTGTCGATATAGCCGATGTTTTTAATCCGAGTCTTATCATCTAATTGCTTTTTTCTTACGTGTTCTTTTTGGCAGCAACAGTGGGAATCTCTGCGGGTTGGCCGCTTCCATTTCGAGCGGATTACGGGGCTGGTCCTTGTACCCATCGCTAGCCAATCTGCGCCAACAAAAAGGGCGGATCTTCGGGGGTGCTCCGCCTTTTCTAACTGAGCACCTGGTCGCTCCTAGCTATTTAATCCTCCTCGCTTCCATTGTTAAAAAAAAAAATGACAATGAAGACAGGAATTAGATTACGGTCACAGCCTTTGTTTCTGCATGTGATGGCCCGGTCGGCTGTTTCTCAAACTGACCTGCTCGAGCGCTGACTGGTATTTCCTGGAAACGGGCAGTATTAATTGGGAGAAATATAATCACGTCAAGACTCCTTTTTGCCGCAAGGCTCGGCCACCCTATATACATTAGTAATAATAATAATTTTATTAATAGCTTCGTTTACCATCCATGTATAGAAATGGCTGGGCAAGAAAAGCTGTCCAAGCAGCTTGACTGTCCCTCAAACCCCATCGTACGAAGTATTAGCTAAAAAAAAAAAAATATTAAGGCAAGAAATTGCACAATGATACAAGACAGGGCAGTCTTTCTTGCCTTGTCGCCGTTTGCGCACTCTAGCTCATATCACTAACTACAGCACTTCCATCAATAATAAAAAAAAAAAAGAAATCAGCAAAGCAATAAACAACAGTGTCATTTGCATACACTAAAATAAAAATAGAATAGAAAAAGAAAAAAAAAAAAACCACCAAATTCGAGGTTAAACCGTAGGCCAATCGTTTGGCCGCTGTGGACGTCCCACATTTCAGCGGGGGACTTGCGAAACGCCTTCCGAGTCGTAACGCATGTCGTTTAATTCGCGTGCTTGCTCCGATGCTTAAAAAGGGGACTGTCATGGTTGCGGGGTCAAACGAATCTCGGGAGAGATTTGTCGTTTGATTCATCACGCGTTCCACAACTCGCGGTGGCCGACTTGGAATAATTTACCTAAAAGAGGGGGAAAAAAAAGCCAATTGAGCGTCGGCATCTGATTAGTCGCTGCCAGGATGCGAACGGAAGGGACGTCCGGTCTCCAGCGCCAGCTACCTTTCCTTCGATGACACTTCGGTGTTCGGTAGGTTTCGAGCGTGCACACGCCCTTCGGCAGTGTCTGATAGGCACCCCTCGTGTTTCTCTGCGATGACCAGTTTTCGCGGGAAGAGATTGGCCGACGTTTGCTGAAGTGCCCGGAATAAATATCGGAGCCAGCTGCTGTAAAGACCTTGGTTTTCTAGATCGCGCTTTTGCTATGTGCACCGGTAATTACCATCATCTCAGTGTGACCGTTGTCTCAGTATTTGTTTGCATCTCCGAGCAAACAAGCCCTGTTTGTCGTTCCTTTTTCCGTTTAATTAGTGCTGGCTGCCACGGGCGCTGGGCAGCGAAGAAAGTAATCAGACCGGTGTTCCGAACCGTGCTTCACTCGCAGCGTTACGTTTTATTTGCCGGTTTTCTTTTCTTTCGTTTTCGCGTCTTGTTTTCGATTTTTTATTTTGTTCGTTTTATTTTTGCTAACGAACCGCAGCGTCCAATCAGAACCCGCCTGCTACTAAAACGCCGTTGCTTGGTCCGGAAGCGGAACCGGACGTGGCACGTCTCAGTTTTACGAGTGCCGCGCCGCGGGAGAAGGTGAAGGCACTCGACTCGGCAGCAGTCACATCCGCTGCTGCACACACAAGGGCCCCCCTCCCCGTTACTCTCGGTCGGCATCCAGCGCCCCCCTTCATTTGGAGCCCGGTGGTCGTCGAAGTGTACGAGGTAGAAGCCGATAGCAAAAGAGGGCAGGTCACCGACGTCGAGGCCGGACCTCGCGAAAGGTGGCGCTGGCTTCGGCGTCGTCAGCGTCGCGTGAGTTTAGTCTACTCTCGGCGCCAGGTACTCGGGCTCCCCCGTGGTATATCGAAGCTGTTAACGAAGGAGGACGACGCCAACAAAGCGACGAGAGAGGGAACGGGGTTCGATCGAGCCGACATAGATCTGTGCAAGGAATGTGTGCGATTGGAGCAGAGCGCCGACCGAGCCCGGTTTGTCGGCAGTGTGGCGCGGAATTCGGTTTCCGCTTTTCTGTGTCGGATCCCGTTCGGCTTCGGGGTTGGTCTACGATGCAGTAGCTCGGGCAATGGCGTCCCCGAGCCCCTCGGTTCGTTGCTGTCCTCTCGCTCTTCTTTCCAAAGTACCCGGCTTAATGGAATTCCGGAAGTTTCGCGGAAATGAATTTAGCTCGCACCGGAAATGACGAGGGATATGGGTAAGAAAGGGAAGAGCTTCGCTGCTCAAGAGGGCTGGCGTATAGTTGGATACGCTGCGTGCGTCGTGGGACCATCACGTCTGAGCGCTGGGAGCGGGCGGGCTGCAAGCGATAAGCACGAGGGCTGCTTTTCATCTTGTGGGCGGTATTAACGCTAGCAGAGGTTGTTCTTTTTCGTTGCCTCCACCCCCCCCCCCCCCCCCACACACACACACACACACATTTTGTTTACAATCGTTTTTTGGTACGTGGCGAATTTGACTGGTATAAGCTTGTCCCGTGCTCCCCGGTTGGAACGTGGCTCCTCCGCTGTGTAATGGATCTTGACCTGTTTTACTCTTTGCTCCGGGAACGGCGCCGAGAGCATCAAACTTTTCCCTCGAGGCCGGGTATTATATGTCGATCAATTTCTGTTTTTCGGTTTTCTCGTATTGTTTTTTTTTTTTATCGTGTTAAGCACTTACGAGATGCGCACGTTCCGCACACATTGAGAAACCCGAATTAAAAACAAATAAAGAAAAGAAAGCATGGCGTGACAAGAAGTTTGACGTGCCAGGCGATCCATAAGCAAGTCTTTGCTGATCTTAATGCTTGTCGCTTGTTGTGACTGGACCTGTGCGAAATTGGGATACCTAAGCGAGTATGCGTGTTAGAAAGACAGCACGAATAAAATAAGTCGCCATTTACTTCTTGTGGGAGAGCTCATGCGTACCAATGTCTGGTTAAGGAACTTTCCTGCTTGAGTCTGGGCCTCATCTTGTAAGCTTTGTTCCACGGTTGTGTTTATCGACTTGAACAGAGTAAGACAAGTGCGACGTTCACTCGACCACTTTTATTCTTTTTATTTGCGCGAATGGGACGTTTCAAGACGAAGCACAGAAAAGTAATTTTCGGGAGCTCGGAAACACTCGAGGGAACACGCGTTCGTATTTACACCCATAACTGCTGTCGTATAAGCAAACAGCGACCGCGGCACAAATGGAGAACATAATTCCCCGTTTGTAAGTGGTGCGAAGTAGCGAGCCCGTAGCGACTGCCCGGCTGCAGAATAACAGCAACGGCAACAATCCAACGAGTCTTCGGGAGAAAGAAAAGCGCGGAGCCCGAACGTGGTCGGTCCCTAGATTCGTGCCGTACTGTATGCGGCCCGCTCTCGCCGTTTTCCAGCGTCACGACGACTGTCGGGGACATCGCTGCCGCTTGGGTTTGTGCGTCGAGATACGCTGCGTTCTTTTTCGTCTTCGCGGCGTTCGTCGTTAGCGGCACGTAATTGAGAGAAAGTTGCAGTGATGCGGGCTAATTGAGACGGTCTGGTTTTCACGGTTTGTGTTTTCTTTCCGCGCTGCAGACGAGGCGACGCCGGTCACCCGCGGCCACCGAGGAAGCAGCAGGGCGGCAGCGACTGCGGTGAGTCCGCCGTTACGTTACTTCTCCGCACTGCACCGGTGACGAGCGAGCGAGCTCCAATGCCGGGCGAGCGCTCTTGAAAACTAGATCACTCGCGCGGCGCACTTTTTCTTCTTTCGTCTGTGTCTGGCTAATTAGTTTTGTTGTTTGCGTCGCGATGGCCTGGCCAGTGCGGTGGCGCACGGAAAAGATGCTTATCACTTGGAGCGTGTCACGCTGAGTTGGGGCTGTATTAATGCGTGGGGCAAGTTCGTCTGCTTCTTGCGCAGGGGGTAGCGGTGACGTCAGAACGCCGAGCCCTGATTGGCTGATCGCGACCCCCTATCTGAGCGTCGTCTGCTCCTTTGCAACGTCGTCTGCTCGCAACGTCGTCTGCGTCTGTCTCACTTTTCCTGCGACTTTCGAAAGTGCAGAGGCCAGATTCACGAAACGATCTTACGCCAAAAATATGCGTAAGACAAAACTTGAGAACAAATTCGTATTCACGAAACGAAATTTTCGTAAGTTTTGCGCAGGTTACAACGAAATCCAACGACAGCTCCAAAGCTGTCTTACGTACTTCTTACGATCAAATCATCATGGCCGACAGCGTCGCGGCCGCGACGACCAACGGACGTTTATTTTTCTACGTGCGCTTCTCACGCGTCCCGACTTCAAGCAGCTAGAAGAAAGTAAAAAGTACTTGAAACAGACCACGACGAACAAGAACGCTCGATCCACAAACACCCGGGAAAAGCTCCAACGGCTACGGTTCCACCGACACCGACGAAGCGAGCTTCGCAGTTAGGCCTAGCAGGCACTTCGCGACTCGGCGACCGTCTGCCCTCGACCGGCTGGCGTGCTGAATGGAATATGCCCGCGCGACCCTTGTGAACCCTTCCCGTATTAAACTTTGATCGCTGACCTCACTTTTAAATTAAGAGGTCAATTTCTTCCTCTTGTTATCTCCTTGTTTCCCGAGGCAACGGTGACTCTCGCCGGTGAAAAAGCGGTGAATCGCCGACGGACGCAGGAAAGGTAAAGCAGCCATCGCTTTGACTAGCAGACGTAAAGCAGACGACGTTAACTGCGCCAACCCGCCGACGCCGTTAAAGAATGAGGGGTCTCGCCGCACACGAAATGAGGGAACAAGTATTTGGGAGGGAACTTGCGGACACTAACACGCTCACTCTCGGTTCTAAGCAAACAAACCTCGGCGCCCCGGGACACCTCGCCAGTGAGTCCTTTGACTTCCCTCCTTGATGCGCGTCTGCTAATTGTACGACAAAAACAACGTACCGCTCGAGTTATTTCGTCTGCCCTTTCTGAAAGGCGAAGTCGAGTTCACTCGTAAAGACCTGCACTTCCGAAAGTCGCAGGAAAGGTAAGACAGACGCAGACGATGTTGCGAGCAGACGACGTTGCAAAGGGGCAGACGACGCTCAGATAGGGGGTCGCGATCAGCCAATCAGGGCTCGGCGTTCTGACGTCACCGCTACTTCCTTTCTCATGCGCAGAAGACGAAAATGAGCCCACTTGCGAGGCGTATTGGCCGTCAACGCGGGCGGTTTCCGTTTCTCGTTTTAGACAAAAATATTGCGCTTTTATTTTTATTAATTTTTTTGTACCGGTTCCAAAGTAAGGACAGAGGCAAAAATACGCACGAGCAACATTAAAAAGCGGAGCTCTAGCAAAAAGGGTGGGCTGGAGGAGCACATAGAGATCACGAGAGAGTAAATTATGCTTGCCCCAAAATGGCGAAACGTACGCGATATGCACTCCAGGTGTTGGGCAGCTCGTATGAGCGATGCCTCTGTAGGTCTTGTACAATCGCTCGTGTGCCCATTGGCCGTATGCATAAGGCACATGAGTTATTCTTTGTTTACGAATTACCTTAAAGTTCCGCAGATACTACGAGCTTTCCCGTGTTGTTACGCTCCCGTTCGCGGAAGCGTGCCGTTGTCGTTCAGAAAACGAGATCGGGGAATGGCGAGGCGCCGATGGCGTTCTTGTTCGGAAATGCGATTGGCGCCGGGATTTAATTGTTATCGGTGGCTCGCCACCTTCCTTTCCCACGTTGCACTGATTGGCTACTTCCACCCTTTGTGGTAAAGTATAATGCGCGGGCTTCGCGCATAAAATTCCCGTATACTCACTGCGGGACTGTAGAGTAACTTGGAGTTGTACTACGTCGATTGTCCCGAAGCTGTCAGAGGGCTGCACAAACTTGGTGGGATTTTGGCCTTGTGCGGAAGTAAGGTTAGTTAAATTTTCTCACGAAGACATCCGCGGGGTGTTGCTTCTAGAAATTTTCTCGGGCTTTTTGGGCGAGCTGCGTCCTCGATGCTCTACCAGCAGTGGCAGTTACTGACCGTTATAGCCGAGTGCACTAGTATCCTCGTTCTTAGAGGACGATACCTGGGTGCTCGCCTTGAGCATGCGACGTGAAAAGCGCGCTCCAACACGGTGTCCAGCGAAGACCGTCTGGCTCGTGTTGCCAGCACGTCCCGATAGAGGTGGTGTCCATCAAAGGTTGCACAGATGTTTGTGCGTTTACGTAGGATGTCTGCGTGTTTTAAAGAAATAGCGTGGGTACGCCTCGCAAGATACTGCGAGGAAATTGGTTTCCAGTTTGACGAGTTTTACTACCCGTCTACGATTTTTCGAACGTTATAAGATTGCGCGTCTTGCATTATCGGAGATGCTTTCGTCACAAGGCGCCTATAGGTGAAGTATTGTGTGGCTACAACAGTGGGCGACTTTATAAGCTGGACCTGCGGCGTTCAGGCCTTGCTGACACAAAACTCACGCACAGAGCCTCGGGCATACGTTAAGCTATTAAAACGTCCGCTTGGAATGAGCTGCCAGATTTTCTATTTTTGCAATGTGGTAGTCGGTTTTATAAATTAGCGTGCCGGGTGCACCCCCTTTGGCAGTTCACCCCTTTCACCTAACACTATAATCTATCGCAGGTTTAGAGGATGGTCCCTTCGCACAGAGCTCTCTGCTTGCCGTAAATGATGGTATCCTATTCCCGACTTGCCTTCTCTCCACCCTTCGCTTTCCTAAAATGGAAAGAGTGGAGGGCTCTGTGGGGAGGAGCTTGTAGTGCTGTATTCTAAAGCTGAAACGGACGCGCTCATGTTTTCGCCGACTGCGTTTCGCAGATGAGGAATCGATTGCGGTTCTCTTATCTCTCCGTTGCGTCCTGACTGCTCACACGAGAAAGTGCATGCGCGAAGATCGTGCGTATTGGCCGACTAAGAGAAAACTGCCCTCCAGGTGAACACTGCTGTTCCTTCCTAACGAAGCGGACTCGTCAAAGGCTGTCGGTCTGCGGCCGGACCCCTCAGCGCGCCGTCGCGTCGAGGGAATGAGTGACAGATATTCGGGCCGAGGGAGCATGCATAATAAAAGCGCACCCGGAGGGGCTGCTGACTGCTGGTGGCGATGGCGCTCGTAATTTGTCACTGCCTAATGAATATTCACTCGCGCGCCGCCATTCATGACATGTCCGAGGAAGAATACGGCCATCTTGCCCTATAGGGTGAGCACAAAAATAGGAATGGTCTAGAGAGAAAGGATGGGTTCTTATTGAAGAAGGCCCCAAACTTAATAATGGGGCTTGTTCCTCTTTCTCTTCGCTCGCGTTCTTTGCTTCAACACGATGCGTCTGGCTCAGCGAAGCAGGTCGTATTGGTGTGCTCCAATGACGGAGAAGTTCTCCCAGTTAACTTACTGACGTTTCTCCGCGGGACTTGGTGCAAACAAGACACCATGGTAGTCGAAGCTGGTGCAAAGGATCCTGGTGGAAGCCTCGTGGAGGCAACTAACGGTTATGACGTTTCACTCAATCCCCTCACTCCATTCCGGATCAGGCTCTCTCTGAGGGAAACAACGGCTGCCGCTCCAAGGCTTCCAGGTACTTCTAACATTTAAAGTCAATGACAGAATGAGAACGGCGGGGGAGGTCTTCTAGCTTGTCCCGCCTCCAGCTTCCTGTCTTTGATAACACGTAGGCGTCTCGTGAGCGTCGACCGTGCAAGCGCAGCCAAACCACGACGGGAGGTGACGAGCGGGTACTGGAGGCTGGGCGCTAAAACGAGACGCCGTGCCTGTCTCATCCTGTCAGTAGCCGCGTCTACACGAATGCGATGTAGTCGCATTGAATCCAGTTGTCGCGTTCAATGCGATCATGGAAACGGCATAATGCGCTCGGGAAGCCCATCGGATTCAAGTCGCTAGACGGAGGTCGATCGAGACGGCGAATGCGCATTCGTTCAGCCCATGTAAACGGAGGTCGCATCGCATTTTGGAACAGGGGAGGATTATGGGAAGGCGCTCGCTGCGGAAGCGAGTGATCAACTGAGAACATGGCGGTGGTTATCGTGGACCGCTGCGGCGGGGAGCGATCCCGCGTGATCGCCCGCATTTTTCTCCTGAGAAGAAACGCGAGCTTTTATTGCCACCATAAGTGAGCGGAAAATAGCTGAGCTGTTCAGTCAATTAAGGTGGCCCCCGTCATTCGGGAATCACGACTGGCGCGTCCGAGGAAGTCCCTAGAGGTTTCGGCGCAAGCACGAACGACGCCGAGGGATTCGAGCTCTGTATGGTACCGCAGAGCGAGCAGCTTGTACCTCGGTGCCGTTCCTGCCGGCGCCGGAGCCTTTCGGCCTCGGGCTCCGGTCGTGGTTGGGCGAGGCGAAGCGCGCTGGCGTCCTCAGAGCGGTTGGAAACGATCCTGATCGCCAGGCCGTGCGCACGCACGTCGTCTCTGATCCGAAGAGGCCCGACTGCCCGGCCCGGAGCCCAAAACGCTTGGGGTTTGATGTTTCTTCCGTCTCGCGATTTCTTGCGTAGCATCGAAGACAGAGGGCGTGATCTTTAGGCTTGTCGGAAGCGTCGAAGGGCCCCCACTTGCGAAGCACCAGAAAACGTAGTCATGAGTAGTGCGGCCGGTGTCAGAAACCTCAGCGTTAAAGGCGTGGCGCCGCCTTCGCATACGGCTTGGCGCGCATTCA